TATATATATATATATATATATATATTATATATATATATATATGTGTGTGTGTATATATAAATATATATACTAGTAGCATTTATAAATATCTATAGACATGTTTATGCAAATTATAAAGTAAATTAGTTGCAATTTTGTTATTGTATAAAAATGTAAAGATATTCATATATTATTAATTATACTATTCATTATTTACAGTTTATAAAGATTATGATGTAATATTCATTACTTTGTCATAATTTTCAGTAAATAATTAAGTTTTTCTTTAAAAAATTATTTTCTAAAAAAAAACATTTTTTAGTACATCTTTTTTAATTATACTTTTCTAGATAAACTATCTTTAAAATACATCTTTAAGAAATAAAATATCTCAATCAATTAATGTTCTAACCTAACATCTTTTTTCATATTTTATATATATATATATATTATACAGCAATAAAAATTATAAGTTCCTTTAATAAAATAACATTTATTCAGCTTGTCACAAAATTATATTTTATTTCAGTAACTTTTTAATAATTATCTTGTAAGAAAAATTTATAATTTAAAAATCACTGCCTCTCTCTTTTTCTCTCTTTTTTATAATAATTATAGTTTATACTTTACCTAGCCAAAGAGATAATATTGCCTAAAGTATAGAATACAGCAAATACAGCAAGACCTTTCTGTAAGAACAAGGCAAAAGATCCAAGAAATGAACATAAAATGCCTATGACGAAACAAATCGCAAAACCTTTTATTCTGGTAGACCAACTTAATGTTGTTTGATCCATAACCTGTTAACCAAAAGAGATATAAATTATTCAAAATTTTTCATAAAACATTTAAATTACATATTTTAGATATTACAAGAATCTAAAATATTTCTATAATTCATTAATAAATTACCGTAAAATCTGCATCAACCTTCCATTGTTGATATGAGAGCATTTGATAAAATAATAATTTTAATTTATATTTAAAAAATTTATATATATAAATCTAATTAATGATTCTATTGTATCTAAATCAGTAATATGTAGTTTATTAAACGTAATTACCTGGGTAATAATACCACTTTCTTCATCGCACCGTTCATTGCCATTTAAAGCCCTTCTTAACTTATCCATTTTTATTTTAAGTATGAATATTAATAAATATTTCAAAGAAATTGAATAATATTAGCTTCATTAATTTGTTCAATATACAATCAATAAAATTTAACAAAATGTTTTATCTCATGTTATACATTTATGTTTTAGGTTATATACATCCCCTACATATATATCCCGTATTTCTATATAATACAAAATATTTTAAATGTTATTTTTATCTTTTAGCAAAAAAACATTTGTATTGTCTGTATTTATTTACACTTTCAATTCTTTTTACTCTTTACACAAATTGATTGCGTTCAAAATACACAACGATCGTATTTAGAAAACACAACAGGTGCACCCAGAGTTGGGTTACGTTTGGAAACATTATTCCTAGGGGAGCCACCCGTTTGACCACGTTTACAATAGCTGCGTTCAATGATTCTTTATTATGATTGGTTTCTACACTTAGATTCAACAAAGATCTAAAGGCAAGAACCAATCATATTAAAAAAATCACTGAATGCTCACTGATCTGCTTTCTCTGCTAAACGCAGTCAATTAGATACAACCATTTATAACGACCGATGCTTGTCGGAAATTTTCTATTAGATTAACCAAACAATTTTATTTTAAATTAATCAATCAGTAACGTGGACAATCAGGTGCTAGCTTCACCCGAGTATGTATTGTATGTATTGTATCTTTGTTTAACATTCGATGAACAACAAGAATAAAATGATACAGATAAAGTCGAGCGACGCCCATTTGATCACGTTACTGATTGGCCAATTTGAAATAAAATTATCTAATTGATTGATCCAGTAGAAAATCTTCAGCTATTGGTCGCGGTAAGGATTGATTTATAGAGGCTGTAATCTGTTAACTTAAGCCAGCGGTACACGATGCTTTTTTTCCTGCTGATTTGCTAGCTGGATTTGCGTGCTCGTTGAGCTCTTGTCTCTGATTGGTATATTCTTTTGGATCTAAAAAAATATACCAATCGAAGACAAGAGTTCAACAAGTATACGAATCCAGCTAGCAAACTAGCAAAAAAAAGCATCGTGTGCCGCTGGCTTTATGCCGTAATCATAAAAAATTGACGAATCATAGTCGATTATTCTTCTATAATTCGATTGTGATTGATTAATTTTTTACGGCATAAGTTAACAAATTACGGCCTTCATAAACCAACTCTAAAAGCTACCAACTCCAATTAATTAAATCGGCCGATCATTCCATTGGAATAGTCCAATCGCAATTTGCTCACAAATTTAAGAACAAATATGATTGGTTAATTCCAACCAAATAATTGACTGATTAAATTAATCAGAGTGAAAGTAGCTTTTAATAAGTGGTCCATTAGAAAATTTCTAAGTGTCGGTCGATATGAGTGGACGTGACCAATTGTAAAAGTGGTCAAATGGGATGGCCCTCCAGAAAGCAGCTTTGTAACTGTGTAAAAATCTTTGAAATTATTGGTTTTTATTTTTAATTCTTCACGGATCTAAATGTACACACCAGTCATATTAAAGAATCTTATAACAGTTGCGAAGTTTTTTTTTGCTGAACGTATGATTGTGCTTCTCCGAGTGTTTATTTCAAAATAGCTCTGACAATCTTGAGCAACAGGTTATTCTTTAAGAAAGTGAAACAAACAAGAGATAGAAACAAGAGATAAAAGAGAGAGAGACTTTTTAAGTTGATCAGGTAATTCTTATATAATTTATAATTAGTAACGATACGCTTGAAATTAATTATGCATATAAATATACAAATTAAATTTTAATTATTTGTATAATTAAAGTATAAAGTAATTATAAATATATACAATATTTAAAGTATAAAGAGTATTTATTTAAATGTAGCCGTTGTGGAAGATAAATTTGAAAGTGATAACATATGTAACAATCAAGTTATAGTATTCAAAGTTTTACTGAAGGTTTAATTTTAGGGTTTTCCTGTTATATTTCGGAAAAATATTTAAACATTTTTTAATATGAAAATAAAGGTTGAAAACACAAATTGTTACCTGTTGTTCTTACAGAGTAATTGATAAAGTCGTTAAATGCAATAGTTTCGAAGGTTAGAAAATCTGTCATACAACATTGATGCTTGCAACATTCAGAATCATTTCATCTTTGTTGTATACTAAATAAGAACAGAACTATTGTGTGCTATATATAAATCTTGTTTTACATTGTAAATAGGAGATGGTGTGATAAATATGAAAGTTTAAAATCTATATAAAATCGAACGATAATAGACTTATTTTGCACTGTAACCACGGAATGATATAGATGAAATTCTCATTTTTAAATCTTTGTTTTTATATGAAAAGATTGAATACATTTTTATCAAAATATGAGAAGAAAACTCTGAATTAAATGTTTATAAAAGTTTTTACGAATATGAATTTCGACGAGGTTAACTACAATGTGTTTTACAATGTGTTTAGTTGACCGTTAGAATATTTTTAATTTTTTTGAATTTCTTAAAATTTAAACAAGAAATCCATAATAGATTAAAATAATTTAAAATATACACATAATTATCTTATTTAGGTATAATTTATCTTGCGACAATGCTTTCTCGAGATGATCATAGTCATGGACGCATGGCAATTTTTAAATTCCACAATAAACATCAAGTATGAATAAAATTATTTTTATTTCAATTTTATATTATTTAAAATATAAGTTATATAATTATTTATAAGTTATATAATTATTTTGAATTTTTTTAAAATAATTAGTTTGAATGTAGATTTTGTATAAAATATAAAAAAATTTTTTTTAGGAAGCACGAATAAGGAGAAATGCATTATCAATACAGCTACGTAAAGCTAAGAAAAATGATCAATTGTCAAAAAGACGTAATCTTGACATAGAGGAAGAATTACAAAATTTATCAAATGAATCTGCTTTTTCATCCACTGTTATACCTTCTGTAAATGAAATTGTAAATCATATAAACTCATCAGATGAAACATTGCAACTATCAGCGATACAAACTTGTAGGAAATTATTAAGTCGAGAAAGAAACCCTCCCATAAATGATATGCTAGAAGGTGGCATAGTACCATGCTGTATTAAACTTTTGGATAGCGATCACAAGTAAAATTGAAAAAATAATTGACCAGTTTAAATAAATTTGTTTTTACGTTTTACATGTGAAAGGATCAAGATAATTTTTTTTTAATTAGCATTTCCTTGCAATTTGAAGTGGCATGGGTATTAACTAACATAGCTTCGGGTACATCTGAACAAACGCAAAACGTTATAAAACATGGAGCTGTACCAAAGCTAGTAAAGCTACTTAAATCTGCTTCACCCATTGTAGCAGAACAAGCAGTATGGGCTTTAGGAAATATAGCTGGAGATGGACCATATGCACGTGATCTTGTTCTTAGACATGATACTCTACCTATCTTGTTGGATTTAATTAAACCTGATACTTCAGTAAGTAATATTGTATTTGATTATAATATATACATACATACAAAAATACATATATACATATGTGTGTATATGCATACATGCATATATAATATTTTTGACAATTTATATACTTTGTTTTTACTTTGACTAAGTTTATTTTCATTCATGTTCTATTCAGTAGTATTCAGGAACAATTTTATTTTTTTATGTAAAGTGTAACATACAAATATTTGCAAGTTGAGCAATAATTAGTATGTTTACTGTGATATAAGTATTTAAAAAAAATGATAGTATTTGTCAATGGTTAATTTTAGCATGACTTTTATTATATATTTTTATTTTCAGAAAAAGAGAAAAAATTATATTTGTAATTAATATTAATTTGAGATATTTAATAGACAATAATATAGCTCCTAATAGCTTCATTTATTTAAATAAATTTATAAATGAAAGTAAAAAAAGCAAAATCTAAATTCCTATATTGTATAATAACGAATACTTTTCATTTAGTGATATAAGTTGACACAAATATTATTTTGTCCTTGTTACTTTATTGAATGCCAAGAAAGTAACGATATGTCAACTTATATCACTAAATGGAAAGCATCCAACATATTAATTACAAGTTTTTTATTATTACACTTACAGAATGTATTAATATAATAATTCATAAAAATATATAGGAAAATATAAAATGATTTATATATACTGAAACATTATGTAAATTCTAAATATTATAAATATCTTGATAGATGAAAATTTCAAATAATATTTGTTTGAAAGAAGTTTATCAATTAAAATATTTTCTTAAAATATTTTCAATAAATTATTTTTTGTTTGGCAAATCCTTTTAAAGATGAACGAAACAAACTTAGTCTTTATATTAAATAAAATATTAAAACTGTTTTTTAATATTAGTAGATCTTAATATGTTCTAATATTGTTTGTAATAATGAAATATACAGGTAACATTTATACGTAACATTGTATGGACTTTGTCTAATTTATGTCGAAATAAGAATCCACCTCCATCTTTTGAATTAATTAAACCTGCTCTACCAGTATTTAATCGTTTACTTAGTTATACAGATAAAGATGTACTTGGTAAGACATTTCGTTTATTTATATAGTATAATTCCATAAGGCATTCTAAATCCGAGATATATTGCTGCTTATAATATTTTAGCTGATACATGTTGGGCACTTTCTTATCTTACTGATGGATCCAATGATAAAATACAAGCAGTGTTAGAGACTGGCATTATACCTAAACTCGTAGAAATGCTCACATTACAAGAAGCAGCTATCCTTACTCCAGTATTGCGTACAGTTGGAAATATAGTAACAGGTGATGATGCTCAAACAGATGCTGTAATTTTTGCGGGAGGATTGCCATATCTTGGTGCCTTATTGCGATATCATCGTGCTAACATTGTGAAGGAAGCTGCCTGGGCAATCAGTAATATTATGGCTGGTAATGCGGAACAAATCCAGAGTGTAATAAATGCTGGCCTGTTACCA